CTTCCTTCCTTCCTTCCTTCCTTCCTTCCTTCCTTCCTTCCTTCCTTATATTCTTGAATTATTTGTTCACTTCTTGCTTTCTGCAGGTTCATGCAGGATCTGGAGGATATGCTTGGTTTCAGGCCGTACTCCTTCTATTTCTACATGTGGAAATACGTGTCGCCTGCTATCTTAGTGGTGCTCATCACTGCCACTGTCATCGAGATGGCTGTCAGTCCTGCAGGATACAACGCCTGGGTGGAAGAGGAGGTCAGTTCATCCTGGCTGTTTTTTTATGATACATGACAAAGGAAGGAGTTAGAAAGAAGACAAAACATAGGGAAACCATTTAGATTGTTTTGTAAATTTTCCTTTTTTTTTTAGCATTTTGTGAAATATTTATTAATTTACTGCACTGTACAAAATGTTTTAGTATTTACTCATCGCTTTTTACAGTACTTTAGTTTGAAGAAGCCAGAAGATAATTTTTCAAAGTGGACTGGATCGGTAGTTTTCCAGGCTTTCAGAAGGTTATTTGTTCATTCAGTCTTGGCTGCGTTTCACTTATTTTCAGTCGGAGGAACGTTGTTGTTGTTTTGTATGTTTAAACTTTTGAACCCAGACCTATGAATCATTCAAGTACAAAAAGTCTCCTAAACTCAAGAGACAAACTAGTGTTGCGTTGAAAATATTAGAAAATGTAGCAAAAAATAAATAAAAATAATAATTTTTAAATTAATAATTAAACATTTTTACAAGCAGTCTGTCACAAAAACAACATGTTGGAATTTTAATAGTTGAATCATTTAAAAAAATGACTTTTAAAGACTGTCAGGAAGCCTAAAAGCAATCAAGACCACTTTAAAAGATTATGATAGAATAGTCCGTTTTCTTTAAAGCTAAATATAAAGAAATGAGAGGTGGATTAGAGTTTTCACAGAGTTCTGTTCATGGCGTTCAGAGTCAGTCCTGTTGAACGTGCACACATTTTAACCTTATTTCTTTATCACCTTTTTTTTATTTCCCCACCATCCTGTGTCTCTGTTCTCTTTCATTCTTAGGGCTCAGAGCGTTTCCACAGCTACCCCCCCTGGGCTTTAGCCATGGCGTACGCCCTCATCGTGGTTGCCATGCTACCTCTGCCCATGGTCTTCATCGCCCGCCACTTCAACCTCATCTCAGACGGCTCCAACAAATTGTCTGTCTCCTACCGCAAAGGCATGATGAAGGACATCTCCAACCTGGAGGAGCAGGACGAGCAGCGCTTCATCCTCGGCAAGAACCCCAGCGAGACTCCTTCCCCCATGCCTGCCCACCGCGCTTACCTGGGGCCCGGCGGCACCCAGGAGATGACCAACACCAACTATGGCACCAGCACCAAGACGGGGTACCAGAACATTGGCTCGCCCGAGTCTGAGCTATGATCCACTGAGCTCATGGATCTCAAACACCCCCCAAGGCTGAAGGGAGGAAGACAGACGACGTAAAGAGGGAGAGAAAATGGCTTGCAGCATTCCTCACACCTTAACCTCCAGAGCTAAAATCTTTTTGTCCCCCTGTTTCTGCTCCATCACACACACTTCTTTCCCCTTTTTCTTCTCATAAAACTCTCTCTGCTGACTGTGAGTAAATCCCTCCATTGAGGAAGGGATGGTTTTCCATCTTCTCAAGGTGGCAGAGACAGAGGGACAAAGACGGGAACCAAAAGATAGAGTCTAGAACGGTTCTTTATAGATTTAGATCATAAACTCAGAGGTTAAGGGATGTCCAATGCTAAAAGCTTGTGTTGTACTGAGCTGTAATTCTGTGTGTTAACCAGTTTGTGCTTTTTCTGGTTCATTGGAGAGGATTGTTAATTTTGGGAATAGAATAGAAGGAAGCTCAAAAACATAAAACACTTGCCTTTATTGGATTGCTATGAGAACATTTCTCATGTCAAAGAAATAAAGGCTTACAAATGCATCCATAACAGTATGTCAGCAACTCTTGTGGCATTACAAGCACATTATATCTTTGAGTTTATTGTGCCTATCGTGCATCAGCAATAATAGTAAATATTCAGTCCTCGTAAAAACAACAAATCTCCTTCTATCTCTATTTCCCTGCAAATGTACATTAGAAACGTTTCTATATAGAGTATATGTTGTGCAATAGTCTCGAACATCACCTTAAGTCATGCGTACACTGCAGTAATGCTGAATAAGGAGTAGCTTTGTCCTCATTTCAACACCGAAGCACAGACACCTGCCATCTATAGAGCATCACTGAGCCTTAAAATGGAAAAACGTTTGTCTTTTAAACAACCTTCCTCCTCAATAAGTACAGCTATAGAGTTGTTGCCCTCAGCGATGCATATATTGAGTGCACAGTGGGCCGAGACGAAGATTTTCATTTCAATCAGTCTATTTTAATGAATGCTTTAAAAGAATAGAAACAGTTGATGTTGGATCGGAGAGGCACGTTTGGTAGAAGAAAGGTTCACTCTTTGAGCACACAGATGGGCACGTCAGTGTGTTGTCTGCAGCTGACTGCGAGCTCCTGGTGACCTGGCCCTTTTAAAAATAGAGCTCAGGGGACGCCGTGGCAACGCTCCATAGAAACAGACTCTCTTGTGATGTGCAGGAGGAGCAGGAGAGCGGACACCCCTCTTTGTCTGCTTCACCTGCGCAGCTTGTTGATTAGCTGTATAAATTGACTCGCCAATTGCGGTCGTATTGAATTAGATGGTTCACTGCCGTGCAATGTGGATGAATCATAATCCATCCCTGAGTTGGTGGTGATTCGGTTCAACACTTGTACATTCCTCACATTCTGACCATATTTACTTCATCTGCACTACAAGCTACACTTTAGTGTCTTCTCTGTGATCCAAAGTGTGAAAACAAAGCCTTTGTTTTTAGTTTAATGTATAATCTTGTATTTCGGTGGAAATGTACTGTGATATTGTTTGCAATAGGTGGTAGTACTTGGATTTGACCATTAGGTGTCGCTGCTGAACAGCAGAGGGACACTGCTTCCTTTGTGGCCCCTCCCTAAGAGAGCAACCATGACTTGAGACTGAACAGATGTGGCGTGATTAGTACAGTCATGTCACATTGTTTGGTGCCTGAACAGCATCTGTGTCATCTGTTTGCCTTACGCTTTTGTCATTTTATTATTTTGTACCTTTGGTGAGTTCGTTTGCGTCGTCCACTTGAGCACTTTAAGTAGATTCAGACCCTGGAGTTGTTTGTTAAGCACAAGTTTGTGGAGGAAAAAGGTGAAATGAATGTCAGCTAGAGGTACAAACCGAAAGGGTGAATTTTTCTCATGATTTGTTTTATAAGACCAATCTATTAAATATAAATAAGAACAGAATACAATGGTTTTCAAATCTCATAAACCCATATTTTAATCCCAGTGGAATACAGTGAAACATATCAAATACTCGAATTAAGAGATTATATCATTTTGATGATAAGTAAGGTAGTTTAGAATGATATGGCAGCAAGACATCTCAAAAAGTTTCGGACAGAGGGAATTAAAGGCTTTAAATATGAGTGGTGCACAAAATAAACTACTAACTAAGCTATTAACTGGGTTAACTGGTCAGAGGACTGAGTATGAAAAGAGAAATTTAGAGACTGGATGTCTCAGAAGTAAAGATGGGCGGAGGTTCACCAGTCTTCAAGAAAACATTGAAAAAGCGTCCCAGCTTTATCAGGTTTGGTGTTATTAATGAAAATCTGTTTTTCAATCGGGTTGATGTTCGTAGTTTTAATTTGTCATAACTTTTATGTTGACTTGATCCTTTTAACCTTTCTCCTAACTTTAAGTTGTCTCCTAAGTTTTAACCTTTCTCCTAACTGTGTCCCAGTTTTTATTTTGAGTGCAGAACCATCTCTGATGTTTTTGTCTAACTTTGTTCATGTATCGTCGGCAGTGAGTTCTGTGTTTACTCTGATTCCAGGTCAGCCATCAACTAATATCACGTGTTTACTGCCATTGTTACATCACTTAAGTTGTTTCCATATGAAGTTAACAGACTTCATGTTGTGTTTAAAATAGCACAAAAATAATGTGTTTGTTTTACGGTCTAACAACTTGAGACATCATTAATAAGCCTGAAAATGTTATTCAAGTCTTCACACGTCAGATTATAATCCTCACAGTTGGTTAAATTTTGCCTGTAAGAGTTTAGAGTTTATGTCAAAGCAGGCACAAAACTGCCCACAAATAGCACAGAAAGTGAAGGGACTTATTTGTACTATTATTTTGCTTAGAATTAAAGCACATTTTAGCAAAGCACAGAACCATGAGCATGCATAAACTGTAAAGTCCAAGGTCTGTGAGCCACTTTAGGCTCATCGGGTAAAGAAACTGTAAGATCTTTGATTCCAGCACAAAAAAAATAATAATCTGCACAAATAAAAGCACTGCCATTTTCAAAAGACACTTAAAAACAACAGGATTTTTGTAGCAACAGGTTTTATTTGATAAACTAGATTTGATGAAAGTGCATTAACAGTGTGTGTTTTCTTTAGATATGCTGCATTTCAACTTGTACATGACCAGGGTAATTCACATCTTAACGCTGTTTAAACTCTGCACGGTCTCAGGCAATGCAAAGCTTTTTGCCAATCAGTGACAATAATATTAACTGAAAACAAAAACTCCAGGGTCTTTTTGTCTCGTCCAAGTGTCCGCTTCAAGAGTTTATCTCAGCTCAGCCATCGATAGGAACCTGACAAAAGTAGAGCATCAATAAATTGATTTAAATGTGCAAATAATATTTATGTGACCAAACATAGTTATATTTATAGTATTTAAGACAATGTATGTAATCTGTACATATTGATGTACATTCACTGAGTATCTATAGTGAAAGTGACGGGGTGTATACTTGAGCTGTAAATAATAATTGTATATTTTCAGATATTTTTTTGATTTTTGTACCGTCTGTAATGTTACATTGGTGTCCGTTGGTTTCAGGTGTTTGTGTGTTGTTTTCAGTAAATAATAGTTGAGTGTGTGTGTCTGCGTGTTGGTGTGGGAGCATGTGTGAGCGTGTGTAGAGTAAAAGTACTTGTAGGTTTTCAGTGTTTCGCTCTGTGTTTTTTTCTCCTCCTTCAGTGTTGTGTGCTGCTTAACTAAACCAGTGCAGTGGAGTGGGACCACTAATGTATCAGCGATCTCGTGCGTGTGTTTCTCACTCTAAACTGCGATGGCGTCCAGCACAAAACTGGGAACACAATCAGGAAGAAATGTCTGACTGTAACAAGACTTTTAGGTGAATAGAGAGATGCTGTGTGTTAACACAATGGAGTGAAGCGACAATTAAAGTAACCACTTTTATTCAGCAGTCACTGTTGTGCGTCTCCTTTATTCTGATCTGTGGAAAGTTGAACAAACAACTAAAGTGAAAATGCCGTGTGAACGCCGAGACTTGATGATTTTGTTTCTTTTTTTTGTTGAAACGTTTCGTCTTTCATCCAAAGGACTTCATCAGTCTGAGGAGCCACAACAAACTTTAGTCCCACAAGCAGCACTCACACAATGGACCAACCAGTTCGACGGTGATAAGATGGTTTCTGGAGTCCGCCCTCTCCCCCGTTGACTCCTATTTCTTCTACGTCTGCTCCTACTTCTAGAAAGGTGTAGCAGAATCGTAGTGTGCAAAAATTTACTGAGCCAAGACAAAAACAGTCAAGATTAATCATTTTATACATGTTTCTAATAGGGTCCTCAAATTTAATAGGGGAATCCAAAACAACACCAAAATATGTGAACTTGCTTTCTTTTTGGATTTCTGTTTGATTATTATGCTTTTTGTTGCCTCGGCTCAGACTCTTGCCACATTTTACTCCTCTTCCTTGGCGTCAACTTCTTCTCCAGGGAAATTGATTCTGCTGCTTGGCTTTTGTCCAGTTGGGTCAGAGGTGGATGCGCTCGTTGGTTTCGAGCAGGCCCATCATGAATTGAAATATCTTGGCACTGACACAAATTTGAGCCGGCGTAACTGTTGTGGAAAAAAAGAGATTCCCAAAACGATCAGGTGGAGCTCTTTATCATATTTATTACAAAGCTTTGGAGAACAGCCAGCAATCTTGCACGATTATTAATGCCTTCACCTGTCTGACCTCTGACCCATTCTGGCTTCCCGAACTGAAAAGGTTAGTTTTGCAGAGAACTCTTCAGGGGGCTGCCCCTCCTCTTCACCTTGTCCTTGTGGTTTCAGAACTGAACCCAGCAGCTGCACACAGGGAGCCACTGGAGGTCAACATTTCTCAAGGATTCTTACAGGGAATAATCACAGTGTCTACCATAACATTCAAAAGTCTCCAACACGATAAAATATGGCCTCTCCTTTTCTTACCACTAGTCACATCAAGAACTATTATAATATAGACAAAAGAGTAAAGAAGCAGAAAAGGTTATAAAGTCTATATTAATATAAGATATAGAGCATGGTGCATATGTGCATCCTCTCAACAGTAACGACTACACATTCATCACAGACTTTTTGTTTCTTGTCTTCTGTACATTTTTAACATAGCAGCTCAGAACTTCATAGAATACAATAAAAATAAGTGGTTTACAAGCTTCTCGGGTTTTGTCTGCATTTTGACTCCTAACCAACCTCCAGCTAACCATGATGGACAGTTTTAGTGGTAAAAACAACGTGACAATATTTCTGTTGGATTCGTTCGGACCCTGTTGCCGTGTTGCTTTTTGTCCCCACATTGTGTGTTCACATGAAGTAGTTTGGCTCCAAAGCTGCGTCACATTTCCTTTCTTGACTTTCCGGAGCAATGTGCGCAGAGTGCTTTCTGCTTTGTATCCTACAAACAAATCATTTCCCACCACAGTGTAGCACGTGAGCTGCACAAACCGGCTGCTCTGACTTGATGTTGCACTTACAGAGGTGCCACCTGCAGGTTCTCTTACAGATATTTATCTCATGACAGCACACATCAAAGAAGCGACTTCCTGATTCCCCACCTCCCCGCCACCTGATCTAAGAAAAGACAGTTGATGTATATGTTTTACACTTCAAGCAGCATTTTCCTTGCAGACCGGGTTTGTGTGGGCTGCCTTCATCAGACATGCTTTCAGCTGCTGTTTGCTTCCACATCAGAGCCAGATGGTCCCGTTCAGAGGACTGGTTCGAGAGCTACGACAGCATTAATGTTTGACCAACTAAGCTGCAAACAACAGGTCATTCAGTAAAGGACACCTCGCACACTTTGATTCCACAAAGAAGCATTTAGTTTTCACTCTCCTTTCTGATGTGGAGCATATTCGTGATATTAACATTGTTCGCAGGAAAGTGTTTGACGATAACCTCACAAGAAGCAAATGGTTGGAGTCCGGTGTAGAAGAAGAATAAAGTGTGGATCGTTGGACTCGTAAAGATCAGAATAAAGAGTGCAACTGGTTATGAAATGTAGCAGTTTACACCATTTTTAGCTGTTTTTTAAAAGCACACAGCTTTCCTGCAAAGACCCATTCTTTGAACTTCAAAGGAGGAAATTATCCATTCATGCATC